CAAGATAAAAGCTGTGGTAACTGGGTGGGGGGCTATCGAACAAGTCCTCGGGCTTAGGGATCCTAAGTTCCCAACCTTTTGGTAATTCAATTTTTTTGGTAAGGAGGGCTATTTGGGTGTCCGTATACGAAGAGATGGGGTTGGTAGGCATGGCTTGGGGTTGGGCGGCACTCTCTTTCGCTTTGGTGTTGGGAGGGGTCGTCGGGCCCGGGAGAGCTAAGGTATTGAGAGATGGCTCTTTGGGCGAAGAGTGTGGAGGCGAATGGGAGGAAGAACTAGTGGTACCCGAAGAGGTAGAGCTAGTGGTGCCCGAAGAAGTAGAGCTAGCGGTATGGTTCGTGGAGGAAGAGCTATGGGGAGGCGAAGAGATAGGCGGTTCTAAGGCATATGAGGGTAAATTGACGAGCACGAATGAGAAGAGCAAATGACAAAAAACAAAAAAAACAAAAAACAAAATGCAAACGTAACATAGTAAGACAAATGCGCAATAAGGTGGTACACTACTAAAAGTAATTCTTATGAATAAAGCAAAGTAATTGGAGTATGTAGCGAGAGTAAGTCGAGGAGAGCGTACCCATGAAGGACGCCGATGCCGCCATAGTGAGTGGTGGTAGGCGTGTGGTCGTTGGGTCTGCGTGAGGTCCGCACGCTCGGCAGTTTGGGCTCAGTGTGTCCTCGGCGAGAGCCCGGCGGAAGGATGGCGCGTGCGCGGAGTGCTCGGCGGGCTCGAGAACTAGGCGTGTGGACGTCGGGCCGATGAGAGCTCGGCGACGAAAGAACACAAGGCCGTCGGGGGTATGTGCACATTGGACTGAAATACGTCGGATTTGAACTAAGAATGTAGTGTTCACTTTTTTAGAGAGAGAAATTATGTCGGAGAGACATTTTGGGAGATGAAAATTGATGGATGGGAGAATGGAAGAGAGGTATTTATAGATGGGGGCTAGGGTTTGGATTGGTCTTGATTGATCTTGGCCCTTGATTTTGAACATTAATCAATGGTGGAGAGTGAGACTTATGGAGGAAGCCAAGTGAGGTTTTCAAGGAAACCATGTGATGAGTGTGACATATAGTGGATGGTGTTGAT